GTGCCCCCCTGTTCCCCCCCCCCCCCCCGCGCGCCCGCAGACAAGCGCACCATCACCCGCCGACACTGGCGTGTTGTAACAGTTGGACTGCCGGCTCTGATGGCGCCGTCCATGCTTCCACGTACGTCATGAACACCCACTGGCGAACAACGAAACAAGCCGAGTTCTGTTTGTCCGCCTGTTTTTGTTTTTTGTTTTCGTTGTGTGCAGGTGGACAGCCCGTTGTCAGAGCAGAACCTGCCCTGGAGAGAGAAAGTCCTGGTGACGGGGCCAGATGTCATGTTCGAGGTGAGGCGTGAGGTGTGAGCTAATGTGATACTGGAAGTATTGTATGCATCTCCCGACATGGGTGTCGCGGTTCTCTCTCTCTCTCTCTCTCTCTCTCTCTCTCTCTCTCTCTCTCTCTCTCTCTCTCTCTCTCTCTCTCTCTCTGTCGCTCTCTCTCTCTCATTTTCTCCGACGCTGGGCCACGGTTTCACCGTTCTCTTGGTGCGACAAACATGCCGTACGGCTTGTTTGGGATGATTTGCGTACCGTATGCATGTGATGGATTTTTATTTTCGCGAAAGGAGCGTAGGTGCTCGGTTTGGTCGAGATCGCCCCACCGTAGTGCCTGTAGTTCGGTGATCTAATTATATTCTGGCATTTGTTGCCGACTGGTGGATGGTTTCCGCCATGGCGTGCCTGCCACACCTCATTGCTCGAATCCATTTCGTCGAGCGGGTGTGCACGCGAACACACATGGTGGAAATTTCTTCCCCAAGAACGTAATCCGCCTACTACTTGTTCCTCCGCTCGCCCCGCTGCCCCCCCTTCCGGCGTACCCCCGTCCACCAATCCTTTTCCTGATGAATCCGACCGTTGTACTCGAAGGTGGTTGACCTAGATCGAGAGGACAGCACGGTCCAGGTAATCTGCGCCGAGTTTTTCGGGGGCAGGGTCACCATGCACAGCCTCTGGGGCGGCGGCCAGCTGCCAGGCAGCCAGCCTTCGGTGACAGAGTCTTGGGTGCTCGACGACAACGCGGGGCCGGCGTACTCGATCACTGCCGCTGACTTGCGGTGAGCTGGCGGCATGTGTATGGTGTCGTTGGTGCTGTTGTAGTGGTGTGTTAGCACGTGTTGCAGAAGAAGCGAAACAGGTTGTACCGACGTGTTGCACGTACGAGTCGGCGGCGTGTGTGTACCTGCGGTGAGCTGGCGAGATGTGTACGGTGGTTGTGTTTTCTGTGGGCTATAGTGGTGAAGTTTATTTTTGGGACATGTTGCAGAAGAAGCGAAAAGCCGCCTGCTTGTGCATTATTTCCGATAGAGTTGAGTTGGCGGCGTGTGTGTTCTCTTTCCTAGTGTAGGAATGGTCCACAGCGTGTTCGCGGCTCCACTAAATAGTGGAACATGAAATAAGTATGATATTGCAGTAGTGGCTTCGGTTTAAGAGAGGCTCGAGACAAGCCGGAAACACGCTGTTCAATCCGGTTTTTATATTTGCTTTTCTCGCAGCATGGACAAGCCGCTCTCGGATCTCCTCATTCTGTACTTTCTTTCCCAAATAT